GCTGGACCCATATTGGTAAGGGCCTCAAATGTTCCAGCTGTGCATGGATTTCTCCTGATGCTGCTGTCCTGAGTGTCCATAGAAGCCACTGAAGACCAGAGAGGCAAATTGACCTCTCTGAGTCTTCTAAGCAAGCTGGTGACAGAGGCAGGATTTGAGTCCTGCAGAGCTAATCCCTGGCCCAAGGACGGCTTTTCCTCGGATTATGATTAAAAGCTGGAAAATGCTATGATTATTTCTTTTAATACAAATTTACACAAATTCAATCTAATCCGGGCTTTCTTAGATTCTCAGGGAGGAAAATCCCTAAGCATATCCAATTCTTAGAACTAAGAAGTTCAAGCTTCTTTAAACTTCGACTGCATGTGGGAGGAAGGGTGTAAAAGTGTTAATTCGAATCCACAAAGAAAGAAGCCTCGCTAAAGGCTTATACAGTAGATGGGGTAGAGAGACAAGATGGGGGGGAGGGGGGGATAGTAGAGGATAGGAAAGGGAGCAGAATACAACAGATACTAATAGGGCATTATGTAAAAATGTGGATATGTAACAGATGTGATTCTGCAATCTGTATTTGGGGTAAAAATTGGGAGTTCATAACCAACTTGAATCTAATGTATGAAACATGATATGTCAATAGCTTTGTAATGTTTTGAACAACCAATAAAAAAAAAATAAAATAAAAAAAAAATAAAAAAAGATGGAGCAGAAAGGAAAAAAAAAAAAAAAAAAAAAGAGGATTACTTCTCCAGTCTGCTCACGAAGGCTGTCATCCAGGGATCTTCTCCTCTCCAAAAGGAAAATATCTTTTAATTCTCCTGTTCATGTGTGGCCCTTATAAATATATGATATTCATAGAGGTCTCATATTTCTGGATGCATAATCATCTAGGAATTTAAAAGTTTTTTGTGACTGTTGTGAACATATACAATCACCTTACTGTATTTTCTTATTAATTTCCAGTAATTTTGTACTTGATTTAATTTTTCCAGATAAACAATGTCATCTCTGAATAGTTGAACTCTTTTTTTTCTTTTCAATATTTTTATTCCTTGTTTTTATTCCTGATCTAATGCCATGAGGTAAATTTCAGAATAATATAGACATTGATTGACAGCAGATGCCCTAGGATACTGTAGGTGTTTTTGTTATTGGATTCAAATTTCTGGGCTGTGCATGCTCAGTGCTAATATTTGAGAGACAAACAGGAATCAGATTTATTCAAGGCCAACCCTGAAGAAGATAGAGGGGGGTTGGTTCTTTTTTGTTGTTTTTTATTTTTGTTTTGTTTTTTTGCTTTGTTTTTGGTTTTTTTGGCCTGGTCTTCTTTAATTAAAAAAATTATTGGTGCACTATAATTATACACAGTAGTGAGAGTCATTATGCCATATATGTACATACACATTATATAATTTGCTCAGTCTCATTCCTCGGTATCTTCCCATTTCCTCCTCCTTTTCCTCCCTCTGATTCACTTGTTCTTCTCTACTGATCTCCCTTCTATCAATGACATTATTATTGTTGTTATTGTTGTTTTAGTTAGTGATTATTATTATTTATGTAAGTGGTACTCCTGGGTTTTCACGGGGACTGAGGAGGTTGTGAGGCTGCAGGCCTGGCAGGTTTTCATTGGGAAGGGCCCTGGGACTTAGCACAATGGATTTCGACCTCTTGCAGCTAGTTACTAAGGAAGGGTGCTACAAAGCCCATCTGAGTTCTGTGAAGCTAAAGAAAGTTTTCAGGTGAGGCCTCTCCTAAGGGTTTCGACTTCCCAGATGAGACCTCTCCTGAGAGTTCAGAATGCCGGTTAAAAGGGAGGGAATGTCAAAAGATTAGGAAGGAAAGGTGAAAGCAATCTTGCTAAGGACAACTCCCCGAAGGGGCTGCTGTTTCAATTTGCCATTGAGGGGTTGCTTGATACTGTCCTGAGACCATCTTCTGTGTTGAGGATGGTTTCCTCCATTCACATCCACTGCTTCAAAAAAGTCAGAAATAGACACTGAATTTTATTTTATTTAAAAATTTCTGACATTGAATTTTATAAAATGACATTTCAACATTTGTTGATGTGATCAGTTTTTCCTCTTTAATCTGTTAGTAAAATGGTTGCAGTAACAAACCTGCTGATGTTCCTAAGAATGTTCCTTAGAAATTAAAAAAAAAAAAAAAAAGAATGTTCCTTAGAATGTTGAATTTCCCACCAGGTGTGTTGGCACACACCTATGATCCCAGTGCCTCAGGAAGCTGAGGCAGGAGAACGGCAAGTTGGAGGCCAGCCTAGAGAGATCTTGTCTCAAAATAAAATGTTCTGGGGATGTAACTTACTGGTAAAATGCCCCAGGTTCAATGCCCAGTACCACACACAAACTCACACATAATAAAGAAATGCCACTGTGTTATGTGCATTATTTATTTAATGTACACTGATTTTAATCTGCCCAAGTTTAATAAATGCCCTCTTTTTCACCTGATCAGATTTCTTTATTCTTTAATAATCCTCTAATTTGAAAAGACTTTATCCTAATACAAGGATTATCAGTACTTGATCTTAACACTTAGACCAGCATGTTAAGACTTCTGTTGTATTTTAGTATCAACGCACTGAATTACATTTATAAAGACACCTTCCTACCACATCCTTCATAAAATGTAGCTGCCTTTCTTTCTCGCCTCCCATTTTGATGAAGGCATCCAGAGCTGTAGCTAGAGTTTCAGCATTGCTCTGTCATCAGCATTTACCCTTCCATGTGTCTTAGGAGGGATGCAGAAGCCAACACTGATAGCTGCCTTGGCCTGGCAAAGCTGATCGAGACATATAAGAAGTTCTTCCAAAGAACCCTGTTTAACCCCAGCTTTGCATCAAACTGCCATAATTGTATAAAATACCCAATAGAAAGTAACTCTGCCAAATTAGGACACCCCATCCTAGTTGACCCTTAATTAGGGGGAGCCCTTTTCTGTGTGCAACACACAGTTACTACAGGATACCTAGGACAGAAAACTGGCGTCTGCCCCTCTCTGGTCACCCTATCTAGTCTGAGGATTTGTAATAGAAACTCTTCAACTTTCAATTATGATTGTGTCATTGAAGCCAGGATTGCAGTCCAACCCCTGACAGGGAGACTTCCCTAAGGGGGCCCCACAGGAGGATCCCCTGATGGTGTCCTGCTGTCCAGTACTCTGCTGGCTGCTGAGGATAGCAGCTACCTGCCAAGATAATAAAAAAACTGAAAAAGTTTCATTGAAAACAATGTATTTTCTAAAAAAAAATCCCTTCTATACCAATCTTTGCAGTATCAATAGTCAATTAGAATTTGTTGGTCTTTTCATCATATGCATTGCATTGTATAATTCTTCACTGCCTTTTTTTCTGGGGGAGGGGTGCTAGGAATTGAATTCAGGAGCACTCTACCACCGAGCTCCATCCCCAGCTGTTTTTCTTTTTCCTTTTGAGACAGTGTCTCACTGAGGCCCTCACTGAAGCCCTCGGTAAGTTGCTGAGGTTGTCCTCAAATTAATGATCCTCCTGCTTCAGCCTCCTGAGTCATCTTCCCACATCTACTCTACTCTTTTATGTTTTGTATCTGTTGTCATTTTTCTAGATTACCAGGTATTTTTTTAAGAAGCAGAACATAGAGATGTGTGCTTTCTGTGCTTTCTCATGTAGTAAATGCATTTTAACCTTCGTATCTGTGCAATGGTCAACTATGTATAGAATATTCGACTCAAAACTCACTTCCCTCAGAACTCTGCAAACATCATTCCACTGACATCTATATTTAGAACTGCAGAACAGATTGGCCAATGGCAGTTCAATTCTTATTCCTTTTAAAATAATAACTATTAATTATTAGCTTTATTAACTTAATGAATTTTTTTCTGTGGTAGAAGAGTCTATAGAACATTTTTACATACATGGACATCAAAACTTATCCTTGACTCCAGTACAATATATCTTTTCCCACAATTCCTACCTAGAATTAGTGAGTTCTTTTGACCAAAGACCTAAAGTATTTCTGTTCTAGAAAACTTCATTTTTCTTTTTTATTAACATGTGTCTTTCATCTGATCTGTTCTCAGTTTGTGAAATTCTGTGATGAATCTATCATAGAATATAGTCTTTTGGCCAATCTTTCATGCTTGTCATCTTTTCTGAAATAATTTTAGTCTTCTTGAGTTTATTTTTTCTCTCTGGAGTCTAAATGAACAATTAAAGTCACTTTTGAATTAAAAACATGTTTTTAGTGTTGTCTTTATTTTTTACTGAGTGCTACTGACTTTCACTTGATGAACAGTGTTTTCCTTTTTTCTAATGAAATATTTTTATCTTCTCTTTATATTTTCACCTATACTCTTCATAGGCTGCTCTTGAGTCATTAGCCTCTGAATTCCACCACAAATATTACCAAAGAACTAAAACCAGAAAAAAATTTTTCCATCTGTGTACATTAACTCTTCTTCAGCAAAGATCATTGGCTTGTTGTTAGTTTTGTTCTCTTTGGGGTTGATGTCACGATTTCCTGATTATCTCAGATTCTGCATTACTTTGTTAACAAATGGGAGGCCTCTGCCACCTAAGGATAAACCGAGGTATGAATTAAACTTTCAAAAGGAGAAAATAAAAAAAGATGTGAGCTTTTGACACTTGCATTATTCTTATCTACCACTATCAGCATCTAGAGAATGAATGATTTTCTGGTAAGGACCTTGACTGAGAACAAGAGAAAGAGATTAATTATGAAGACATAAGAAGAGAGCAAGTTAGAAAACATTTATTAAGCTTTATTTTGTAGGAAATGGATAAAGAGAAAGATAAATACTAGCTGGTACTATTCCATATTGTATTTACTCTCAACAAACAACTTAATATGAAGGACATGGTAATATAATAGTAAGACCCATTCAAATATGTTCAAGTATGATCAAAGAAATAAAACAAGGAGCAATTGAACAGAGGCACTGAAGACTGGCAATTTTTGTTTATTTGATTTTTATTTGTTTGCTAAAAAAAATTTTTTTGAAGAATCAGTTTTCCTTGATTTCAATTTGACTAGTATCCATGACAAAGTGTGAGAACCAGGACAATGTATGAACGACTACAAACCTTTGTGGAACTGCTTCTAGAATGACGTGGGAGAAGTTCCATTAAAAACTTCTGCTCACAGAATCTTCTCATGTGATGAGATTTACTTAAGTGATGAAGCTACTTCTCATGTGGTGATCTCCTTCTCTGGGACCCTCATGTGGAAGCCTCAGGGAACACAGAATCACTGAGATCCCACCATCACTGAGTGAAGTGTTTCTGACTTACCAGGTTCCTCACAGCAGCCTTCACGTCCTTGTTCCTCAGGCTGTAAATAATAGGGTTCAGCATGGGGGTCACCACCCCATAAAACAACGAGATGAGCTTGTCTGCCAGGTCCTGCTTGTCGGCCCCCAGGGGGTCCTTGGACTTGGGCTTCCCATACATGAAGAGGATGGTCCCATAGAAGACAATCACCACTGTGAGGTGGGCAGAGCAGGTGGAGAAGGCCTTTTTCCTCCCCTCAGCAGAGGGGATCCTCAGGATGGTGGCAAGGATGAAGACATAGGAGAAAGAGATGAACAGAACTGGGACTCCCAAGAAGATCACGTTGGCCACCCCCATGCTGATCACATTGATGGAGATGTCAGCACAGGCCAACTTCAGGACAGCCAGGATCTCACAGGTGAAGTGGTTGATGACATTGTCTCCACAAAAAGGCAGTCGCATTGCTAAGGATGTCTGCACTGTGGCGGTGATGCTACCAGCTGCCCAGGAGCCTGCAGCCATGGGCACATAGACAGCCTTGCTCATGACCACAGGGTACCTAAGGGGGTTGCAGATGGCCACATAGCGATCAAAGGCCATCATGCTCAGGAGAACACACTCTGTGGCTCCCATGGCAAAGGAGAGAAACATCTGCACAGCACATGCTGAGAAGAGGATGGTCTTCCTGGGGGTGAGGAAGCTGTCAAGAATGAGGGGGACGGAAGAGGTCGTGTAGCAAATGTCCAGGAAGGAGAGGTTTCTCAGGAAGAAGTACATGGGTGTGTGCAGGTGGGAGTCAAGGATGGTCACCAAGATGAGGACACCATTGCCCAACAGAATCACCAGGTACATCAGCAGGATGAGCACAAAGAATGTTTTCTCCAGTTTGGGGTGGGCTGACAGGCCCAGGAGAATGAAGCCCATCATGGGGGAGGTCTCATTGGACCTGACCATTGTGCCTCCTATATTATTTGTAGGAACTCAGAAGATCAACTTCATAATTTTCTAATGCTTAGAGTGCCCAAGGAGGCCGTGAGAAAACCCCTCCTTGCCAAGCAATTGAAGAACAGCTCTGACAATCTGCAGGAACAAGTTCTCTCTGTTGTTCTAAATAAAATTCAGAGAATTTAATCAATATCTCTTTGATCAAATCTGGCCAATCCAGGGATAAGCCTGAAATGTCCCTTGATTTGATTTAATTTTCCTAGCCACAAGCAAGAGAGGCATCAACATTCATTCAAGTTCTACCACGTGGGCAATTCATTTTATTCAACTTTGGTAAGAAATATTAGACTTCATTTGAATTTTCTCCCTTGTTTCCTGGGACTGGTAGAAAAATCTATTGCTCTTTATCCTCAATTCCTAAACTTTCCTGTCTATTAGTACTTTTAGAGCCTGTCTTCCTCCTCTTTTCTAGTTCCTTCTTACAATATGCAGGACTCTGAACCATTCATTTATTCATTTGGTCACTTGCTTAGTTTTTCTGGACACATTAAAAGAACTGGCATTTGCCTATGTATGAAATTGTTAAATGCCGTTCCTCGCTGGGTCTCCTTTTTTTCTATATTGATTACTTTGGGATAATTATTATGAGAGGTATTTTCTCCTTCAGACAAAATGATTGTATGGATTTCTCATTCTTGGACTTTCCCTTGCACCATTGACATGTCCTTTCCTCTTTCCTTCAAGACCCACCACCCGCCTCGCCACTTAATCCTCAGGTATGAAGCCAAGGATTAGATGGATACATGAGAGTGTCTATATTCTTTTTAAAGTGCCCTCTTACCTTTTTAAAATAAATATGTTGATAAAGAAAATCACTTCTCTGAGGCCTGGGGCCTAGAAGACAAAAAGATAGCCAGTCTGGTTGGAAAGCAGCTCCTGAAATGAGTAAGAAGTTAAGTTTTCTTGTCTTTGCTCTGTGTTTGGGTAAAATCCACAAAGGATCATTCACTGCATATACAAAGTCATTTAAATCCCACTCTGCTGTTGATTATTCTAGTCCCTGAAGTGATTTAAAGTTTTAAAATTGAAGTGACAAAGTTAAGAAACTTTCTATACATCTGGGATTATGTCCCCAAGATCCAATTATTCTGAAGTCCCTCCAGAAATACTTTCTTGTCTCCTTCCCTTCCTTCCTACCCATCTTTCTGAAATGTTGGAAAGCATTAGGAGGAAAGGTCTTCTTGGCCTCATTGAAATCAACCCCCAATTAATAAAAACTCTCATGATAGACCTGGGAGAATGTGAAACCTACTGTACAGGATAAATCCTTGTAGTTCAATATTGTTGGCCATTTCCAAGTTCAAGATCTTAGGACTAGAAAAAAGCAATTGACCTCAAAAGCCCCCTCTTATCTGGCTCCTACCCAGTAGATTCTAATCTCCTGCCCTAAAACAGGCCTTTAAAGGGCATTAGAAGGGTCATAAACTTATCTGGTCGTGGCTCCTGCCATGAGAATTTCATGTGCATAGCTGTGGGATTGAAAAAGAGCAGCTGATCACAGAAGTGACAATTTGTTGTTTGAGGTCTTTGCCTCTGTGTGTGTGTGTGTGTGTGTGTGTGTGTGTGTGTGTGTGTGTAGATCTGTGCTCTGGTTAGAGCATGGCTGTATTGCCACTGAAATCCTGTAACTTCCACTTCTAAGACCAAAAGCTAAGAGCTGTGACCACCCAGGCAGCACTCAGAAGGATCTTCAACTTGGACATGGTTTTCTGATATGTTATAGTTTCTTAATAACATTCTAGTTTTCCCTTTCTCATTGAATTCTAGGCATGGTGAGTGGCACATGTGTTGCGGGTCTCAGTTCACAGATGACTTAGGTACAAGAGAAGCCTGTTTAGTATCAGGAACAAATTAAAAAAGACATGGTCAGTTCCTTCTGCCTCTTCCACAAATGAAACACACTTGTCTTGTGTGTTGGCTTTGAAAAATCTTAGAATCAAATATATGCCAATGAATAGTGGTAAATCATTTAATTATGCCTTGTGTTGAATTTTTTCCCATGAAATAGACTATACATATAGAAGAATGTAAAAAGCATATGTGTAATGTTTAAGGGAAAATTATAAAATACACATCATGTATTCCTGAATCAGGTTAAGAATTAATGTTCTTGTACCTTACTCAACTGTCATTTTGTTCTTTCTCCCCATTTCAGTCCCTTAGGAGACCCTCTTTACTCCATGGTCAAATTATATTCTCTTCTTCTCTTTCTTCCAGAGGTGACCATTCTTCCAGTTTTGTAAAAACTATTTTATGCTAGCTGAGATGATCCCCATCTCACCCTATGATTTTCATCTCTCATGATCAAATACTACCTGGTACTGCTGGGAAGGACTTTTGTCAACATAATTAAAGTCCCAAGTCAGTTAACTTTAAGATTAGAAGATTATCCAAGTGGGTCTGATCCAATCAGTAAGAAGTCAAATTCAAATCATGGGGAACATTCCACAGTGCCATTCATAAATTTAAAGTTGGAGGAGACCACAAACAGAGACTAAAGAGCTGTCCCAAGGAGCTAAGAATGACCCCTTGGAACAAGCAACAAAGAAACTGAAACCCCCATCCACCAACCACAAGGAACTATACTCCACCAACAATCTGAATGAGCTGGGAAGAGTTTTTTAAAATTTTATTTAATTTTATTTTTTCCCCCGCAGTACCTAGCCCAACTCACCCAGACTTGCAGAACTGTGAAATAACAATTGGGTGTTGCTTGAAACTGCTAATTTTGGGTCCTTTGTCATGCAACAATAGAAAATTAATGGCATTCTTTTGATTTCTTTCATGGTTTTACCACCTACAAATACATCAATGAATCAGAAAAATGGAATAACAATTGTAAACCCAGCTTTTCAAGGAAAGGGAAAATTTGCTACTATTTGAGGGAGGAAAATTTGCTACTATCATCAGAGAATATAAGCTCAAGATTTTAATAGTCCCTTCTGGGTAAGTCGAGGACTGTAGTGTGGCCCCACCTGGCCCCTCTTATCCCACTGGTGCCAAATATCATCAGAGGGAGTGAGTTGTTTTATGTTTTCTGCTTCTGACCTCTCAGTTTGGTCCCCTTTCCACTTTTAGGAACAGGTCAAAGCAGAATTTTGTGTGGGGTGGAATGAGTGCTTCAATTAGTTCCAGCAACAAGGCTTAGAGAGAGAAGAGGGAACTTTATCAGTGTATGGTCAAGATAAGGCAAATACAGGAAAAAAAAATTGGGCCCTGTGTCTGAGGCATTGTATCCTGGAGCTCATCACCATGGGCAGGATGAGTCTCTGGAACACAATCCTTCACAGGCCTGGCTCTGAAACCCGGGGTTCCTCTGGGCTGGGTGCCCTCTCTGTGGGGAAGATGGCCATGATGCTGGATCACCCTTCGCCACGCTGAGGATTCCTTACACTACTCTTATAGTTGGAACCCCTGTTTCTTTTAGTTATTTCTTCCTATTTCTTGGTTTGCTCCTTTGTTTTGGTGGATCACATTATTTTTAAAAATTTTTTGTTTGTTCTTTTTACTTCTACATGAGAGTAGAATGTATCTTGACATATTATGCATACATGGAGTATAAATTCCTATTCTTGTGGTTGAACATGATCTAGAGTTACACTGGTCAAGGATTAATATATGAACATAGGAAAGTTATGTCCAATTTATTCTCCTGTCTTTCCCATTCTCATTCCCCCTCCTTTCCCTTCATTCTCCATTGTCTAATCCAATGAACTTGTATTCTTCCCTCCCCCAACTTTTTGTGAGTTAGCATTCACATATCAGAACATTGGCTTATTTCACTTGGAACGATAGTCTCCAGTTCCATCCATTTTCCAACAAATGCCATAATTTCATTCTTCCTTATGGCTGAAAAATATTCCATCGTGTTTATATACCACATTTTCTGTATCCATTCTTCTGTTGAAGGGCACATAGGTTGGTTCCATAGCTTAGCTATTGTGAATTGAGCTGCTATAAACATTGACGTGGCCATATCACTATAGTATGCTGATTTTAAGTCCTTTAGCTATAAACCAAGGAATGGGATAACTGGATCAAACATGGTTTCATTCCAAGTTTTCTGAGAAATCTGGTGGAGCACATTCTTGAATGTCTTTTTGAGGAAGTAGAATTGTATACATATTTTTGAGATCTTTTGTTCTGCACATATTTCTATTCAACCCTTGTAAATGGCTGATATTTTGGTGATATATTAGTCAGAATTCTCAGGGAAAATGGATCCAAATAGGATAGGTACACACACACACACAAACACACACACACACACACACACACGTTCCCTTTTACTCATCCTTTATATTCTATTCATGCCTTCAACTGATTGGATGAAGCCCACCCACACTGGGGAGGGCAATGTGCCTTAGCACCTCTAGGATTCAAATATTAATTTCATCCAGAAACACCCTCCCCAGACATATCCATTAAATGTTTGACTCTTTCATTTCTTCCCCAACCCACCACCACCCAGTGCCCAACTCCTGGACTTGGGTCTGCTGTGAAGCTCAGGAACAAGTGGAAGAGAATGGCCCACACCATTACCTGGACCCCAAGACTCCCAGACACTTCCAGGGGGTGCCCTGGGCACTAGCGGAGAATTCACTCCAGGCAGCTATGCCTCGTGTAAGCTCTTGATGTCTTATTATTTTTTGTAACTCTAAGCTCTCTCCAAAATTCTGGAATAAGGAGAAGAAGGAGATTTGGGTATGAAATCAAGGAGGCTAGGTAAAAATTCTGTAGCTCTTAATTTGAATTATATGTATATGTATGAATGATGTATTTGATCTAAATCTAAATTATTTGCTATAAATATAATCATGGTTCACTTAACAAAAGTGTTATATTCCGGGAGATATATTTTTAGGCAAACATCCCGGAGTATATTTTCACAAACAGATGGCATAGCCCACTACATACGTAACCTATTGCTCTGCCAGAATTGCTCTGACAAGTAATTTTCCTCCACAAGTAACTCTTGTAGAATTTCCAAAAATTCTTCAGCTGCCTTCACATCAGCACTCGCCTACTCACTGGGTGCTCTCACAGTACGTAATGAATAATGATTCTTGAATTGTTTAGACCACCC